GAACATTTATGCTGTTGCACTCGGAAGTGATTTTTAAGTTAGATATGTGCATTGGTAAGGAAGGAAGAAAAAATTATTTAAATGAGGTCACAAATTTAGTTGAAAGAAGCTTTCAACCAGCTTTGATGAAAATTTTATTTTTTTATTAGGGTTTTTGATAAACTTTCACTGAATAACTCAGTGAGAGGGGAGACCAAGGTGTAAGCATGTAAATGTATTTATCTAAAAAAATATTTATTCAATGGTGGGTAGGCACTGTTTCCAAAAAATAACCATCAGCTACCACCTCTGCAAAGTTGTAAGTCAAACAGAGTCTGCAAATAATTTGCGGACGAGTTATTCGGTGGATTCGGCATGCTAGGCTATTATTTGACACTTTATGAGATGTGCGAACATGCAGCTGTGTATATGTGCTGCCCTTTCTATTGAGGTTGTAGTATGCTTTTAGGCGCTGGGTGTTATTAGACGCCGTTTTTTTCTTACAAAGTACTATAGATAATTTGCTCATTTTTTGTGGCAAAAAATCATTTTGCACACTTACAAAAATAAACGTTTTTCCCTTGGTAAAAACCCAATAAACATTTTGGCGAACGTTCGAAAATGATCTTCGATATCCAATACGAATATCGAACAGAGAACCAACTCATAACCAACCTTAGTTTTCCAACGTTCATAGTATATTGGAAATACACTCAAGATGGGTTCGAAAGAAAAATGGAAACTATAGTAACAAGAAAGAAAGGGAAATCCAGCTCATTCTTGAAGGGAAATATAAGAAAATCACTCTCTCTCTCATTAAAATAACAATTCGATAATCGGCTGGATTTCGAATTCATAACGAAAGAAAAATACATTGGATATCGAAGGTTCCGTTTTGCTGGAGAATGGCCTAATTCTCGAACCGAATACTAACCTATTTCACATTCGTTATCGAAGGTGAGACTCCGAAAAAAAGGTTGGTTTTCCAATCATTTTCGAATTGTTAACCAAGCTGAATATTTATTGGTAAACTTCAAATCAAATAACTGTGTGTTTGGTTTTGTAAAGAAAAAAAAAAACAAAACCGACTTCAATTCTCATATAACAATTTAGGAATACCGTTGCTTTCTTCATAATCCAATGACCGAAGCGAAACCAAATAGCACGACTTTTCCCATAAACAAATTTTCGAAAACAGTTTATGTGGTCCAAAGTTAAGTTCGGTAACACGCATAAAACAGAAAAAAAAATATTCCGACGAATTGATATCTAACCTCACTTTTTGGAGTCGGTTAATAAAGAAAAAAAGTGAGCACTTTAATATATACCTGCAGTGGAATTCTGACAATCGCTACGCTAAATTTCCATCGCTAAAATTCTCTAAATTAAAAGGCGTGGGGCCTAAAGGTATGCAATATGGAAAAGTAACAGAAGCAAAGTGTAGTCAGTCAAATCAGGCAATATGAAGGGCATGTAACTAAACGTTGCATGTTGTTAGGCGTGCGTTCTATTCTTTTGGAGA